ACACAATTTTTAAAGCTGTGAACCTGGAGACTGGACTGTAAGGAGTAGGGGACCATCCTGGTGCAAATGGATCAAACCTTACAGTTTGATCTTACACAACTTGTAGAAAATTTAAACTTGACACAATAAAGCAGGTAGTAAGTGAGTGAATGAGGCAGCTCATCTCTTATGCAAAACAAAGAAGACAAAAGAAGAGCCCGCACCTGTCAATGTCAAACTTGTTGTCTGTGGAGACATAGTCGACGCTGTCGGGGGTCACAATGGCGAGGCAGTTCTCCTTCCCAGTCCTCCCCTGGCCGTCGTACACCTCCGTGCACTGGTTCATGTTGATGGTGCCCTGTGGGATCGTGCTCGGCTGTGGAAACACAAGAAAGCAAAAAATTTAAATGCAAAACTCAAAATCAAAGGTAACATTAACAAAGCAAACACATAATGATTTGTCTCACAGGCCCCCTCATACATTGGGTCAACAGGTGCTACATACATGTACATGTACTGTCCTGTCCATGGTAGCAGTGCCACCTGGGAGATTCAAACAGTACTGCAAGCACCAAGAAACTCTATGGTAAACCTTGACCTTCACAAAATACTGCTGTCTAACCCTATATCCAATACAAATCTGGCGCCAAATGGCTACCTTAACATTTTGCTATAGGGTAATAAGACTAACAGTGAGACGAACCTCATCATATCATAAAAATTCCTTCCTCAAGGCAACATGAAAGTTATAAAACTTAATATTAATAAACTATTCATTTGTAAACCATCCCCAGAACATGCATGTTGCCACGGCACCTTATTGCTGGCAATAACTTTGCAAGTGTGCTCTAGATCATGTACATGTACCTACAACTATGCATGATTCCAGTGCGCCAAAATTAGCTTGATTAGCGTCAAAATATTGACATTTATCAGGAGCCTGTCAGATCCCAGCGAAGCACCAAAACAGCTCCTGCATATGTCAGTCTGTACATCTCACCAGAAATAGGTTTCTAATTAGAGGGAGAAGAACTGTCAATATTCACTCTGATTTCTCTGTGGGCTAATCTGAGTTGATATGACCTCTACTAGAAAAAATGGCAGGAATTTTGTACCCTTTTTATCCCACTGAGACTGCTGTGACAGAAAGGAAACAGTACAGTAAGTTCAGATTTGCTTTTTCATGTTTCCCCAATAATTGAGTTAACATCCAAAACCTATACAAAACACTGGTCCATATTGTAGCTGGAGGAGTAAGAACATCTAAGTGATGCGTTGGAGCAAATGTGTTTGTTTAACCTTCTCCTTGCTGCATAATCACAGAACCAATACACATTTGGTGCTGAATGACTAGCTTAGATGCTAAAGGTTACAACATTCTGTCCTGCAAGTATACCAATAACATTTGAGAAGACTGTTGCTCAAGATAAGTCTTGAAAGGTAGGGTTGAAAACCAAAATACTGTTTTCCCCCAGGCTTTTCTGTAATTTAGCATGACCTGTTGGAAATGAGAAGAATTTTCCCCAGTCCCATCTTACAGTGAGCTATAATCTTGAAGACGTCCCACCCTCCAACCGTGAAAGCCTTCAGAAATAACCAAGAACGGCTACAGGACCCACAGAAGGTCAACCTGACTTAGGTTGTGTCTTAAAAAGTGGGTAAGGAATTTTGAAAGGTCTCGAAAAGTCGGCCTGTGTCAGCATTCCAGCTCCTTACATGGACACAGTCGAACCGGGGGTCACGGGAACTTCTTAAGACTTCTGCTGGCTCCTGAACTATGGTCTTTCAAGGAACTAGGGAGCACTTGGCTGATGTCTTAAACATGGACACAAAATTACATATAGGTACTGCTGACTCCAGGATCAATGTAAGACAAGGCCAACATCTTAACGTGATTTACTTCTGACTGAAATACTGCTCACTAATATAATAATTCTTAAGTCTAATATTTTTTAAGAGTTTGTTTTAATTTGATATAATAAAAAGACGAATGGCATGGGTGGCCAACAAAACAGTACCAATCAGTGAAGGTTGGAGGGTAGGTATAAATGTACTCCTGCATATGACCTTGCCAAGGTGCTTCTTCACCTTGTAAACATGTATTTCCTTAAAACACTGACAAGAAGCAAGACCCTCAGGTTCCCAGATACGACAGCTTAGCGGGTGAGACAGAAACACAGGAAGGGCAAAAGTTGAGCAGACAAAACTGCTATAAACAGTCTCGGTTCGCATCCTGAACCAACCTTCTCAACATGTCAGCTCGAAGTCAAA